GAGCCTGTGCTAAACCCTCACTTGGCAAAAGCGGACTCTGAGACAAGGAGCCACGGGTGCAGCAGTTTATCTGGGAGGTGAGCCCAGGAAGCACGGCGAGCAAGGGGGAAGGTGAGAAAAGAGGAGGGAGGAAAGCCACCACAGGCGCCCTAAGACACAGGGAACTGCAGCAGGCGTCTGTCCACCACGACCACCATTCCCGGGCTGAGGAGGGAGGAAGACAGGCAGGTATGAGAGAGAAGAGGTAGCCCCAGCTGGAGGTGAAGGCAGGTGAGGAGACCACCATGGGGCAGGGCACCAGCAGCGCAGCCACAGTTATACACACCACTGCAAGGAAGCAGCAACTTTGAGGGCCGCCAGGTGTAGCAACGAGGCTCCCATGGGGAAGGCGACATTCCTGGCCAACAACCATCTGAGTGGCAGAGCCGGTGCCTTTAGTTGCCCACACGGGTCTGGCTCCAGGCCTTTTCTGTAACCCTTAGCCACAGCTTCACTCGTGTTCTGTAGTCACCACTGTCTGATGAAAACACTGATAGCACCTCCCACCCTGCCCTTTGCTTCAGCCCTCTAAGTCCTTCCTGGGTTCAAGGCCTGAAGCTACAGAAACGGAGTCAGGAAGCAATCAAATTGGAGTGGTAGCTCAGGGGCCGGGTAAGAACTGCAAAGTGGATATGGGCTCTGGGAGCTCCCAGAGGCCTCTCACCTCTCCCTGTGGCGGGCAGAGCCCCCACAGGCCACGAGCAAATGTATGTTCAAAGAAGGCATGGTGTCACTCAAAGTCTTCACAGAGTGCACGTACTGCATGGGCTTAGAAACATCCAGAAGACCCCTGGTCTTACCTTCCCGTACTTGCTGAAAAGATTCTTCAAATCTGTAGCTCTGGTGGTAGAAGAAAGTCCACTAACCCAGAAGTTTCTACCACAACTGCTACGACCTATTTCAAAAGAAAGCTCTGATCAAAACCATGACACTTTTAAGATGCTGAGTCTTAAGGCTTAAAATCATTTGAAACCAGGCTTTCCCTACTTGTCCCAGAGGCCAGCAGGACCGAGACCTAGCTGGGGTGCGGGGGTCCGGCCAGCTGTCTTCACACGACTTCTGGAACAGCATGCTAGGCTGACAGGACTGCCAACAACACCACTTAACAACGGTGAGTCCAGGGCTGTTAGGCCCAGGGGAGAGTCTGCGAGTTACTAAAATGGCATTACCCAACCCAGGGAGGTGACGCTGGAACACAAGACAACTGCTGTCACTCTAGAACCACTTCAGGTGCTTCTGTTTCTTGCAAAATACAATAGTGTACAATCTACCCCCAGTTTTTGTTCTTTGTAGAACACTGATTAAGGGGGAATCTGGACCAGCAAAACTGCTTCTCAATCAGTGATTTAATAAAGGGCTATGGTGTTGATAAATCTGAAATACCAAACCCAAGATATCTGAAATTCAAAGCATTTTTTTTCCATCTGCAAGTGTCACTGGCTAAGGAATTTGGTAAGAGGGTCAGTCAGGAAGAATGAGCTCAAAGTGCTTCGGCAAAATCAACTGCCCGCATCAAATCAACGCGTCAACTCTGCCCTGCAATCCAGAACCTGCAGTGAGGGGCAGGAGTGGAGAACGGCTTCAAGACAAGCTCACAGGCCAGAAACGCGGTGGTGATGAACTAGAACCAAACACCCTGCCGCTGCTGAGACCAAACACACTCCCAGGGGATGGTGCCGCCACGCTAACCTACCCTTTTCCTCTTTGGAAAGCCTCTTTGTATCCGAGTCATCTTCGACAGAACTAGAGACAAAAGATAGTGTCACTCCAGAAGGAAGAAGCAGAGAGGAAACAAACTCAAAAATCATAAAATACGTGCTGAGGTTGCATACCTACCCGAAATTTAGTTCTGAAAAAATGACACCCCGACAAACGTGTATTGGAAATCTGACCTAACCATAAGATTTCAGACCCACAGGAGTTAATTAATTCTGCTGGGCTAAAGATAATTAGGAAGAATTAAAGAAAACAACCATAATAGGTTGAGAAAAGAACAAAGATTATGTAATCAGTTTAAAATAAACAAAGAG